GTTATTCCCAAATGGCAAATGTGGAAAAGATGCATAGAGAAGTTAAGTAACTTGCCCGTATAGTCACACAGCCAATAAAGAGCCTGGGAGTCAGACCTCATAATTCATGTTTTAACTGCTATACTGCTGTATAAAACATAAATAAAAGGAATTGCCCTTTACTAGTCTCTCTTTCTCATGAGGCCTCTGTTGTTTCCTGACATTTACAAAAAAGTAGTAATTTGTCTCAGATCATCTTTTAATCAATGTCAGAAAGAGCAAAATGTGTAGAACATTTTAGGGAATCACCATTTAGAGGAAAGTTCTTTACCATGTGTATGGATGTAGTGTAGCTGTCCCTATAATAACAACAGAACTGCTCTTGTTTGTTTAAATTTTCTAGGCTCCATATAATTAATTTGAACATGAAAGAGCATGCGTGCATTTTTTTTTTTTTAAAGAAAAGTGCTGGTTACCTTCTTGGAACAGCACGTGCATTTTCAAAGGCTTCGTGCTCTTCCTAGAAATGAGCAGCTGTAGCCAGAAAGCACACGCAATAAGGACCAGTGTAACTGGGTGGAGACTTAGATTAAAGCTTAGGAAATCCCCAAGATGATGTCCTAAAGGGCATTTGGAGGGCATAGGGCAGGGGAAAATAAAATGTAGGATTATTTTGATGGAAGCATTTCCCCACTTGATTTTCTCCAAATGGTCTTCCAGTTCAAGAGAGATAAGACTGTACTCCTAGAAGATGGATGAATAAGCAATGGCTTTTGGGATCTGCAAACTCAGGTCCTCTCTCTGGTAGTACATATTAGGTACTTATTTACTTATGATCTAAGGTTGGCACATCTTTCCTATCACTTTGTCTTTGTGTAAATGTAGACAACTACTCCTGTTTCCTGCCATACATTGATGCTATGAAGAGAAATGAGATATTTTATATGAAGGAAGGATACCAGGTATACTAAAAATATCACTGCTTTCAAAGTCCTTCCTTTCCTTGGAAATGTATAGCAATGCCTCATGTGTATGGGATTACTGAAGAGTCAATTTTTCCATGGAAGTAATCTTTTTTCCCCAGAAAATAGAAACTGATTCTATGAAGGATTATAAATTTCTTTTAAAAATTTTAGCCAGATTTTAAATTTAGCAATTTGAATTTATCAATTTATTAATATTTATCAAATGCTCACGTGTATTTTACAGGCAATCTTTCCTGTGGTTATGCAAAATATATTTTACCTTTTATTAGTGACTGTAAGAAATCAACATTTTAAAAAATCAATATAAAAAAATTAAAAATTTTTAAAAATTTAAAATGTCAATTTGAAAAAAAAAAAAACTGTTTCTTGCAAAGAGAGCATTTCCAGGTGCTGGTGGCTCACAACTGTAATCTATTTACTCAGGAGGCAGAGATCAGGAGGATCACAGTTTGAAGCCAGCCCGGGCAAACAGTTCCGGAGACCTTACCTCTAAAAACACCTATCACAAAAAAAGGTCTGGTGGAGTGGTTCAAGGTGTAGGCCTTGAGTTCAAACCCAAGTACCATAGAGAAAGAGAGAGAAAGAGAGAGAGAGATTTTAGTTGACTTCAAGCATAACATAACAAAGATTGCTAATGCATTTTTAGGCTACAGAAATCTAAGCTATAGACCTAAGCTAAGGCAGCTATAGTTCTGTTTTATTTCACATTGATCAGACAAACTTGGATTGAGTTCTAGGTGCACATATAAGGCAAACTGGAGTGTATCCAAAAGGGGTGATGAAGGTGGAAAGGTTTGGAAGTCATGTCATATGTGTGATTAAACAAACACTTGAAGAAGAGGATCCATAAGAGGACCCATAAAACTTGACTTTAAATATTCAAATACTTAACAGAAATTGAACTTATTCTAAATGGGTACAGATGACTAAACTGTAGAGATAGAATTTTAAGAAGAGAAATGTCACAGTTGAATAAATCTGCCCCCCAAAAGGGAGGGGGCTGCTTTGTTACTGTAATGTTCAGAATAGAAACTGGATGGCTATTGGACAGAGCCACTGTGGAGAGGATTCCTGACGGGGTGAGAAGTTGGGCGTGAGGTTCCTGTTTGATTCTGAATATCCTCCATTCCTTTGGGAACCTCAGCATACTGAGTTATAACAAGGCTATATATAACCTTTATATAGCCTTGTGGTGCTTTGGTCTGCTATGAAGTTTTGTTGTTTCAGTCCCTATATCGACTGTTTATTGTTTTATCATTCTCCTTCTTGCTAGGTTGCCCCAACTTACTGCTTGCCTTTAACAGAATCCTGCTCCATTCTAAATTGTTACTTCTAATATGTTGTGGTCTAGAAAAACATCATAAGTGTATTAGTCAGACTGCATCACTCTGACAAAATACCTGACATAAGCAACTGAAAGGAGGAAAGATTTACTTTGGTTCACAGTTTCAGAAAGTTCACTGTCACATGGCAGAGTAGAGCGGTTCACATGGTGACTAGGAAGTACAGAAAAGGGGGGAGACAGGAAGGGGCCAAGCTAAGATATAGCCCCTAAGGACACATACCCCAGTGACCTCTTACCTCCTACTTTTCATCACCTCCCAACAGTGTTAGGAATTTCTCAAGGACTAACACATTCATTAGGTCAGAGCCCTCATGGTACCATCATCTCTAGAGACACTCTCACAGACACCCAAAACCGTACTTTAGTAATTTTCTAGGTACCTCTCATCCAATCAAATTGGCAATAAGGTTAGCCATCACAGTTACCAAGCATTCATATTAAAATTGCACGAGTAATTTAAGTGAAGTCCTGAAGGGGTCTGTCATGAGTAAGTCTTTGGTGCATGGACTTTTTGCCATTTATTTTAGTCATTAATGGCCTTTTAGCATTCTACCAAATTATCAGGAATATTCTAGATTTAATTTGCCAATTATGTGGTTTCTGGAAACTTGTTATTGAAATTCTGTAAGCTTGCTAAGCTTCCTACTAATTCATAATACTAAAAAATTCTGAATCCATTACTGAAGTTTTCAAAACCACAAAATCATAGACAATGATATACTTAACACTAAGCAAGATTTTCCTTATGTTGGTACTTTTCTTGGCTAGTTTCTTAAAAATGAAAACATGATTTGTTACAAATTAGACTATACAAGCAAGTGAAATTTGTTAGAATGTGGGTTTACTCTTTTCTCCTGAGCTGATTTATATGAGTCTTGGTGGAGAATGTAAGATTCCTTTAGAATACAAAGATCCTGATTTCACTCATTTTCTTCTCAGTTTCTGTTCTTAGTAGGTAAACATAGTTTTAACATAACTCAGTCAAAACATTTCGTGAACATTTACTGTATGCCCAGCAAGTGTTTTCAGTTAAGAATAATGAGGAATAGAAGAAAAAATGTTTTGTATAGATTATGTATAAAAGACTTCTCTACCATTAAGAAACTGTCTTATTAAAGAAAACAAGAACCTGTTACAGAGCAATGCTACCAGTGCCGGGTTGGTGCAGACAGTAAATGCGTTTGAAATTTGCAAGGAGAAATAAAGTAGTTCTGTTCCTCTTTCTTTCCCTTGGCCATTAGGTTAATATTTGTGCCAAGAGCCTTAGGATGTTGTAATTTTCTATTATCTATTTTATAAAAAGGACAGTTGGAGAGGTGCTTCAGTAACTTCATTAGGGGCATATCTGTGAAAGGAAGAGACCCCCCCCAACATGTTCAATCTTTGATAACACAAAAGATTTGTTTTCTAAAGTGCATGATGTTAACAAATTGTCATCTAATACTGTTTGCCACTTCCCAGTGTTGGCCAAAAGGATAATTTTAATGTCTCCCAAGTGGGTTATGCTGATCTCAACCCAGTTCCTCCTGGGAGATATATATAAGCTTCTTACATGTTCCCAGCTGGGTCATTATAAATAATATATGCATATGTGCCCCAGAGCCCCAAATTATCCCCACCTATAACACTGATGATCCCTAATAACTGAACGGTATCTGTTAAGTAGTTAATTTTCTGGAAAATATTCAAAGGCATACACTAAGTGCTGCAATACAAAATTGCATTCGACTTAACTTTTGCCAATTTCCCGGGATGTGTAAGCAGAATTATTTTTCACAGAAGTTAACAAAAGTCCCAGACTCAAGTGTTACTTAATCTCTGTCCATAAACACCAGCCCTGAGCAATCCTATCTACAATTAGCTGCTTGTGGTTGCTACTAAATTGCTCCCCAGAACTTATTTCATAGCATTATTGTTCCTCAGCACCCCGAACTCAGAGCGCAAGCACTGGAAGGGCCGGAGAGTACTCTGTCACGCCCCTGCCTCTAGACCAGGGTATCCTTAAACTGCCCACGACCTAGTCCGTGACCCTTGGCTTCCAGCACCTTGAGTTTGACTCCAGGACATCTTTTCCACCCAGGCAGTGACTGTTAAGTTGGGCTACACCCCCGCCCCAACTCTCCAAGGTGGCCGAGAAGCCAGCCACGAACGCTCCAGAATGGTTAGCGCGCCCTGGGTGCCAGTACCCCGGGTTGAGCTGGGGGTCCTGAACCCCGATCGTACGACGGGGCGGGGGGGTGGGAAGCTGGCGGGCTGCTTTGCCGGGGGCCGTGGAAAGTCGGCGCTCGCCTGTTTTCGCGGTTTTTAAGCCCCTTGGCATGCCCTGACCTGATCAGGAGGGAGTCAACTGCTCTCAGGAATGTCCCGGGAGAAGGTGGGAGCGTGCTTCCCAGCGGAGTCCTGTGGATGCGGGAGGGCACCAGGGGGGGTCACACTGGGGGATGCGGGGCGCGCGCCGCGAGGGGCGCGGGAGCAGCAGGGGGCCGCGGGGCCGGCGCGCGCGGGGCTGAGGCGGGCAGGCGAGCGGGCGGAGTCGCCGCGGGGTGGCGGGTCGCAGCGCGGAGGACTCCCCTCCCGGGGAGGCGGCGGCGACCCGGCCGCGCGGGCTGCACCGCCCGGGCTGTCAAGCGCGGGGGGCGGGCGGGAGGAAGGGGTGGAGGTGCGAGAGGAGGAGGGCTGGCACCGGAGCGCCGCGGTGTCGGTGCAATAAAAATGCATCCCATGGAACTGCCCATGGAGAAGGACGGGACCGAGACGCGGCAGCCACAGGAGGTGGTACACGCGGAGGAGGACGCGCAAGAGGCGGCGGCGGCGGCCGGGAAGTGAAAGGTCTTGCAAAGTTCAGCGGCCGCTGCGGGCTGCCGAGCCCCGGAGGAGGGCAGCGCGACCAGGCCGGCGATGGTCCCGGGGCTCCCGCCACCCCCAAGGTGCCCGGGCCCCGCCAGGCCGGTGCGCGAGGGTCACCCCGCCGCCCGGCGCGGCCCCGGCCCGCGGCTCCGCGTAGCCGGTGCCCACTGACCGAGCCTGGTGCCCCAGGAGGACGAGGAAATAAAGAGCCCCGGGTTCTCCCGAGGACGGTTGGCGCTTCATCCCACAGCCGAGAGGTCTCGGCTCCCTCCCGGCTCTGCCCGGCCATGGGGAGCTGCGCGCGGCTGCTGCTGCTGCTCTGGGGCTGCTCGGCGGTGGCCGCAGGTGGGTGGTGACGCGGCCGGGCCCCCACCCCCTTCCCTCGCTCCTTCTACTCGGCTGCTCCGGACTCGGGGGGTGCAGGGGAGCCCGGGCTGGGAGCGCACAGTCGGCTCCCGGGATGAACTGAGTGGCCATGTTCCGCCTCCTTTCCCCGGGGCTCCGCAGTTCCAAATACTATTGATTTTTTTTTTTTTTTTTGCAACTGGGATCTACATGTCCTTGGATCACCCGATAGCCGGGGTGCGCCCTGCCGGAGATCCAGCCACCAGGGCTTCTTTCTCGATTTGGCTTGGGGGAAACTGCCTTTGCACTTGGTGAGGGAACAAAGGACCCCAGCTCGCCATCCCCCGGCACTTCATGGCCTGAGGAGTCATGAGGACGGGTGGCCCAGCGACCCTGGGCGCGCGTGGGCCGGAGCCCGTCTCTCTTTGAGAGCGATCATCAACGTCCCGGACCTCTCTTTGGGTGCTAGGGAAGCAGGTAGGGCCACCTGGGGCGGGGGTGAGAGCCCTCTCCCCGGGGCAGTGGCTGGAACGCAGTAGAACTCCGAGCTGGAGCGATAGGTGCTGATCGCCCTGGGTGTGCACCGAGCTGGCTGGCCGCCCCTGGGGAATTGGTACCCTGGCCGAGGCTCTGCGGGGGGTGGGAGGCGGGTCTGCTCCCGGTCTCGGTAACTGGACAACCGGCAGAGGCGTCGTCAGATGCCCTCTCCCTCCCACTCCTGTCCGGGCTTTCTCGGACTGCCCTAGGCCACCCGTTCCCAGCTCGCTGTTGCTAAATTCGGGAGCCCCCTCTGCTCTTCTCCCTCCCTCTTGTAGGTCACCTGGTTTCCAGATAGGCGTGTTAAGTGCAGCTCTGTGGGGAAAGAGGAAAGAAAGTGAGGGACTCAGATGGACCTCGCTTGCTACAGAAAGTGGAGGGTGGGTTAGCGGGATCGATTGGAGGGCAAAGGGCACTGTTGCACGCCTCTCTCCTCTCTCGCTTCTTCCATTCTTGCCTCAGAGCGACTGGCACCCAGGAAGATGCAGGCTTTAGAGTCTGCATCCTAAAGCAGGCACAGCTATAGCAGCATCTTGGTCTACCTGGACAGTCGCGTCTTTAGAGATCTCCAAATATTTTGCTCACAGGTTGTTATTATTATCAAATCTTTTCTGGACAAATTAGTATAGGAGCATTTTAAAAATTATTCAGTATTTTACCCCAAGAAGTCTTTAAAGGTCTAAGATTTTACTTTAGTTCTTCCCACTTACATACCCTTATGTGCACTTACACATGCAACCCAACCAAAAAGTGAGCTTTAATAAACTTTTCCCTTTTCAAACCATGTTATGGGGGATAAAAACATGGAGCAGCCAAGAGGTTGTAAATAACTACCACAAGGCAAGTGTTTCAAGTCAAAAATACTTGTAGAGGCAGTATATGATTTTCCCCTGAAATGCTTTACAGGTGAGTCATAGCACATAGGGTTTGTGTGATTCTGACCACAAGCAGCTGTTTGCCCCCTGCTAATCAGAACAATGGCGAACAGAGTCCAGGCATTGTGCACACTTTAACTTGATGTCTAAAAAATAATGTCTAGGGAAGCCCTTTATTTTGGTTGCAAGACAACGTGGGGCTGGTGGTTGTCAGTCAGTATGTGAACCACCTCCATTCTAGCCAAAGCTGTCATTTGGGTCCCTGCAATGCCACACTGATAACAGTTCAGAGGTGTTCCCTCTTAAGCAGAAACGTTCAATTAGCCAGAATTTGGGGTTTGGTTTCCTTTTCCTTCTTTTCCTCTCTGTTTTAATTGTTAAAATGGGTGATTTTTGCTGGTGGTGTTCATAATTAAAATGACAAACCCAAATTAAAGGATTATGATATGTAGTCAGAATGTTAATAAGTAGATAACATTTATCATTTTAAGTAATTTGGAAACATTAAGGTTTGTCAAACCTTTGTTTGGTGGGAAGAGTATGTTTCTTTAAGAAGGTGTCTTAGTTCACAGACAATGATTAAAGGTGTTGTTAGTGGTGCCAGACTGTAAACATTCTCCTGTTAAGCAAACAGGTAACTGCTATATAACTTGTCATGGGAAGAAGCACGAAAGAGGCTGAGGGCATGTAAAATGAGCTTTTCTGTCATTTAGCAGTTTATATTTTTTTTTCAGTTATGTTACTTACTATTAGAAATGGATCATTCACATTTGAGAGCCAATGGTTTCTAACTTTGCCTACCTAAATGATCCTCCTTTGTAAGTTTATTAAATATCTCAGAATGCTTTTCCTAGGGAATTTCTTCATTGGCTTAAAAATGCAAGGGAAATACAATTCTACATTTCCTCCTAAATGCATTACAAACATGTTAGGTAATGCTAAGGATGCAAATGAGATTTGAAAGACTAAATTGGATGATCTTAAAAACATTATTTTTTGGTATAATTTAAGTCATGACTTCAAAAACAATCATATCTCTAAAATAGAGAACATTTATAAAGCAAAGTACTTGCAAATATTTGGCCACTATTCTTCACTCCAGTGTTGGCATTTTCTTCCCCTCATTCTTTACTTGAGTGATGTTTTTTTCTGTTTTGTGAATTTTATGTCTGAGCATAAACATCAAATACACACACACTTGCAAATGCACTGTGAGTGCAGAAAAGTGTTCCTGATCAGATTTGGTAGAATTTCCCCTTTATGGAAAGCTTCGAAGTCTTTGGGGTTACCTTGACTGTTATAGAAGGACCAGGCAGATGGAAGAACTTCTTCATGGATTTGTCTTGAATGACATGTGCTTTTCCCTCCTTAGGTGTGAGTGGAGTAGCTGGAGCCAGTTCCCGCTGTGAAAGAGCCTGCAACCCTCGCATGGGGAATTTAGCTTTAGGGAGAAAACTCTGGGCTGACACAACCTGTGGTCAGAATGCCACTGAACTGTACTGTTTCTACAGTGAGAACACTGATCTCACTTGCCGGCAGCCCAAATGTGACAAGTGCAATGCTGCCCACCCTCGTGTGGCTCACCTGCCATCTGCCATGGCAGACTCATCCTTCAGGTTTCCCCGAACATGGTGGCAGTCTGCAGAGGATGTGCACAGAGAAAAGATCCAGTTAGACCTGGAAGCTGAATTCTACTTCACTCACCTAATTATGGTGTTCAAGTCCCCCAGGCCAGCAGCTATGGTGCTGGACCGATCACAGGACTTTGGAAAGACGTGGAAACCTTACAAGTACTTTGCAACTAACTGCTCAGCTACATTTGGCCTGGAAGATGATGTTGTCAAGAAGGGAGCCATTTGTACCTCTAGATACTCCAATCCGTTTCCATGCACTGGAGGAGAGGTAAGGGCACCTGCTTAACTCTACACTGTACGTAAAGTAAGGTAGAAAAATGTTACCAGCCCACATTTTTTTAAAGCATGAAGCTATACTTGTAGCAACATGAATGAAATTAGATTTTTTTCATGAACTTTATTTGTCATAAGTTATTTCTTACCCTTAGACAAAGGTGTGTAGTCATTTTCAAGCAGACTGCCCACTGGTTGGCCTTAAGTCATAATTCTAAGATTTCTTTCATTTTAAGGAAATCATTAATCTGCTTTAGAGGTTTAAAAGGCTACTGGTTTCTTCAGTTATCAGGATGACTTATTATGTCTCTGAAGGGGGAAGAGTTACTGAGACATCTTGTTCTTGGAGCCCACACTGGTATCTTCCTGATACTGTTAACATAAATAGGAAGTAAATAAAAGCAAAGCCAGTGAAGAAAAAAAATCTGTTTGTCAGAAGGGAACTTTTATCCTTAACATTCCAAGAATGCCTGGCAACCAAATGAAGGTACTTTCTTTTAACACAAAGGTTCCTTTTGAGCTCACATACACATGAGTTTCAGTGTTGGGACACGGGTCTATCCTCTGTCCAAAAGCAGTCCAAGCTCATTTTGCAGATAGCTACTGGTCCAATTTCTGTATAGAATGTTAGCTCCTTGTTTAATATTTTCCTTCCCCTAAGGGGGAAAACAGGTCTTTTTAACATCTGTGGAATTACCTAGAAAGGCTTTCCCTGATATATGAGAACATACAGAGAAAACTGGATGAAAGCAGTTCAACAGACTCTTTGATACCTTCAATAAAAAGATCAAGAAATAGTGATTAAAAAAGTAAGAGTATTCTCTTTCAAATTCTAGTACATGTTATCAATGTACAGACTAAATAAGTGATTCTCAGCAAAGGGGGATTTCACACCCTCCCCCCAACCACTGGGACGTTTGGCAATGTCTGGAGACATTTTTGCTGGGGAGGGAGCATCATTGGCATCTGGTGGGTGGGACCCAGAGATGCTGCTAAACCTTGGCAATGCACAGAGAGCGTCCCTACGCTTCCCCCAACAAAGAATTATCTAGCCCAAAGTGTCAATAGTACTGTGTTTGAGAAACCTGGACTAGATGTTAGGTATACATCTAATGTCACATTTTACAATAGCTACAGACACTAAGGAAAGTGCTCTCCTAGCAGCCATTTCTCTAATACTCACAGACCTCCCAGATGGCTGTATTTAATAAACATTTGTTGAGTCCCTGCTATGTGTCAGGTATGTGCTTGATGCTGCTAAATCTGTCTTTGGGTTTTAGGGGCACTGTTTGTCAGGGGCCTGAAAAGGTTGGGTTGGAAACTACTTCTTCCTCCCACTCCCGTGGACACATAAAGACTTTTGGTATCTAGTCCAGCTCCCTGTTCTGGATATGCCCTGATGAGACCGCCAAGAACAATGCTGCAGGCACCAAAACTAAGGACAGGGAACAAGCTACATATGGATCATTTGACATTCTTCTAATGTTTGCTTAATGTTTGCTTAGTATTTTAAGTATTTTTAAGCCCATTTGCACCCTGTTGTGATACCAAGGCAGGAAAGAGACAGATAAGTCAGGCCCATTATTTTCTCATGTGGGGAACGCTTGGTGTTGAAAACAAGTGAATGGCTTGGTCTCTCAAATTGTTTTGGAATTGGTCCACTAGCTCATCTCAGTGCTACTGAGCCATGTACATCTATGAAGAAGCAAAAATACACTTTGGTAACCAGATGGCAGTCCACTTGCTTAGTAAGTATCACACTGAATTTATTACAACAGTCTAGTAACTACTTAAAGATGACCAAAGTAACGGTTATCCGATCTATAGTGGAAGCAAAAATCTGTCTTATTTAAAGCCAAAGTACTTTATTGTCATGAATGCTTACATCAAATTCCAAGTAGAGACTGAAATTTGTTAACTATTTCAATGCACAGTTCCCTTCTTAACCAGTTGATAGGTGTTTTCATTGTAGTTGCTAATTCAGTAAATTTACCATTTTCATGGCAAGAGAAACGTCGAGCTAGTTCCCCCTGCAGCATTATTTGCAAGTGTGCACTAAGCCACTGAAGAATGTCTTTCTCTCAGAGAACAAGTTTGGGAGCTACTCTTTCCCTTCTGAGTTAGAGCAGAAGAGAGCCGTCCACCAAAGTAAAGACCACAGGAAGCGCTCCTTGAAGAAATGATAACCTCTCTCTACTCTGTCACTTTAGATCATCAATCAGTGTTGAGCTGCACATTAATTTTGCAGTTAGAACTCTGTATCGTCAGCTCCATCTTTGGAAATTGAGTGCTCCAAAAACAATCTAGTTTCAAATAAAAAGTCTCAAATTTCATTTATTGCTTATTTATCACAGCATAGACTTGTATCTTACCACATTCTATATAAGACTTCTCATGACTCCTGCAGGAATTATCCTATCTCCAGGCTAGTATAAATATATCCCAGACAAAATGTTCATTCAAAAATACTGTGTTGGGCTTTGAGATTCTGTAGCTTCATGTCGAAAATTAGATACCTCCATCAACAGACTTGAAGACACCAGCCTTCTGAGAGAGGACTTTAAAAACATAAGCCAAAAAATCCACTCAGGGAGTGGGATGAGCAAACCCAGGGCCTTGAGCAAGCTAGGTAAGTGCTGTACCACTAAGCTACACCCCCAACACTGGAAGCCTACTTTTTAGACCAAAGTTAAACCTGCTACACAACTTCCTAAACTAGCCAGCAGTTCCAAAGAAGGGGGTTTTGTTGTATCCTAAAATGTGTCTCCTTCTTAGAAGATGAGCTTGAGTCTCATATGTAAAGTGATTTACCAAACAACATATGGCAAGTTATGCATCAAAGTTAGGACCAAGTCACAAACCTTCTGACCTGAAGCCTAGTATTTGCTCCATAAAACTCTGTTCTCCCTTAGTTATTGGCCCTGTCTGTCCCTATCCCCAGAACTGCATGCAGAGTTACATGCATGCAATACGTGAACTTTTGGGAGACACATGCAAACCATTGCAACTGGGTTTAACAAAGTGAAACATTGGCTGGACACTGTGGCTCCTGCTTGCAATTCCTCCTACTTGGGAGACAGAGCTTGGGAGGATTATGATTCAAGGACAGCCTGAGCAAAATGTTCGTCAGACCCTCATCTCAACCAGCAAGCCAGGAAGTGGTACATGCCTGTGATCCCAGCTATACAGGAGGCATAGATCAAAGGATTGCAGTCCAAGACCAGCCCAGGAAAAGCTCAAGGCCCCATCTGAAAAATAGCTAAAGCAAAAAAGGGATAAGAGGATGCCTGTCTGCAAGCATGAGGCCCCGGGTTCAAACTCTGATACCACAAAAAAGTTAAGTATTTACAAATGCACAAATATTCTTAGTATTTACCCTTATTATCACCAAGTGGGAGAGATAGGATGTGCCTTTACCCAACTTATTTGACCAGGGGACCCTCTTTTTGCAGAACGCCAGTTACTATCTCTCAGGATTCTAGAGATACACAAAGCACAATGTGGAAAAGTCTGGGGTGGAGGTAGTAAGTGCTCCCAAATCCCTGGTGAAAGGCACAGACAGGCTTGGAGCTTGGCATGGTTTGATTTCAAGACCCTCTGTCTTCTGGGGGCTTAGTCTCCTATTTAGGTGGAGCAGGAGATAATAATAACCGTGAAGCTAAAGATGATGGATTAATGAGGCTCTTTCAGGATGCAGTGTCACCCTCAGACCACCTCTGCGTACAGAAAACATAGGAAAGAGTGAGGTATAGAAAAAATCATTTTGGGCCCCACACAGTCAGGCATCATGGAATGGAAGTTTGGTTACCTCTGTTCAGGAGTCAGTACCTATTCCACTGACCCAAAACAATGCAAAAGTGATGTGGCTTCCTCAGATGTGGGCATCACTTGCTCCCTGCTCCGTTATAGCTCACCACTAAAAAAAGAATTCTACTCAAAATTGGATAGCAACAACTGAACTTCACAGGGTATTTTTCTGCAGGGCATGATGAATATATAACATTCAAAGGGAGGTAAGAAAAACCAAGAGCAGAGGGAGCAGCTGAGTTTTCAGCAATCCTTGAATAGATAAACATTGGGTCAGTCTTTCTTCTGTACCCCAGCATTTAGCACATAGCAGTCAATAAATGTGTAATTGAATGAACAAACAGATGGATAATATGACAAGCAGGAACAGAGTAATAGATAGCCTGAGATGACAGTGAGGGAAAAATGAGTTAAACCTTGGGTAAGGGATGAGATTCAGAAGTCCCAATTAGCAGAGAGAAGCTGAGTTAGTAGTAATATGAGACAAATTATGGTGTGGGGAGGGACAATTAATAAGGGATCTTAAATACTGTTTTTTTCACCCATTCATTCAAATGATTTTTGAGCTACTCTGTGTCAGTTCCCATTCCAGGCTGTAGGAATCTAGTAGTGAACCAAACATATAAAAATCCCTGTCCCAATGAAACTAAGATTATAATTGGCTGGGAGAGGGATGAGAGGTAGAGAACAAATTAATAAAATATGCCATATATCAGAGTGTGATAAACACTAAGAAGAAAATAAAACAGGTCAGGGGATGGGGAATACAAATAAGACAGAATTTGCTATTTTTAAAACGTATTGAAGGATTTGTGTTTGATAGAATGGTCAGTGACAAGGACATTGAGTTCCTGGCAAGTTTTTATGACTGAACAGTACCTATAATTAAGGGTCACATTTCTTTCAACCAGAAGATATGGAAAAATGAAGTTGCATGCTATTACTATATTACTAACATGACACAGGGGTCAAAATCGATTTTGCTAATCAATCAAAACCTATTGAGCCAGGGTTTCTCAGGATGAGAGTACTGGAAAAGGAATTGAAAAGTCACTGATGGAAAAGAATATCACTCGTGAATAATCTGAAGCCTAGCAAGAGTTTAGGTGACATGTCTACAACCCACTTGGTTGAAACCTGTGCTTTCAACTTCTAGCCTAGTGCTACTTCCATTAAATACACTAAGTT